ATGAAGCTGCAATGGGTAGGAATCCACTAGACAGCAGCTGTTAAACTGTTAGTAACTAAGAGAGTCCTCTTTAGATGTAATTTTAGCTTCTTCTTCAATACTGCATCTTGGACATTATCTCAAAAAATATCCTTGAAAATTCTCTGCAGGTATCACCTAATATTAGGAACCATAGAGGATGTAAGAAAAGGCTACATGCCCGCTCCTATCTATATGACTAGTTTCAAGCAATAATAATTAGAGAAACTATGTCACCAATGTGAGGAGTTTGGGGAAGAGAATAATACGTATTATGATAATCTAAAATAACTTTTTAATGCGAACACAGCTGTAAAACACTGACAATATAGTCAAGTCTTTGCGTGTAGAATTTACAGTCGTAAGATATGGTTAGTGAGGGAAAAAAATGCAACCAGTATGGTTCAATCAATTTTGTTGCTTTAAGTAGAATCTAAACAAAGAGGTGGGATTATGGCATACATACACAAATGAAATAATGTGACACTCAAAATAACTGAGGCAAATTAAATAGGAGAATTAAGAGACAATTCGTACACAAGCAACAAACTTTTATTAAGGTTTTCAAACATCAGTATACTTTTCTGTGTGTTTAAACTATTTTAAAAAAGAAAACAACAATTAAAAAGCAGAAATAGAATTGTTTTCTAGTCTTTGCTTTAATTAAAGCCAGGATCAAGAAATATTTGTATTAGAAAAAGGAACAAACTGGTTTCACTTCTGCTTCCTTAAACTGTGGTTTGTTGGAAGATATTGACATATTGACTGTCATCTTCAGTTTCAAAGTTTTTCATTCAAATAAAGCTCAAGTTGTAATTTAAAAACCCTCAGGACTGTGTCAGTAAGTCAAGCATACAATACTATAGAAAACACATATAATTTATTAGACGGACTTACAAATGATCACAAATCCATTTTAGGCACTTCTTGAGTACAGACTATGGGGATTTTTCTACCAAAGAACAGTCTATCTAGCAGGCAACATGATCAAGATTTAAAGTTTTTTTAGAACGATACACAAGGGCTAGACAATTTTTAAGAAATATTGCATAACAATCCCAGTTGTATTCTGTTACATGTCTTCAAAATTCCAAATACAATTTTAGCAGTTTTGCAGTTACTTTTTAGCATAAAAAGGTTTAAATTCTTTCTTTCCATGATTCCACCATCACAGTCTCAACATAATCTATTATATATTTCGGAGGGACCATGATACAGAAGTTTTAAAAATTATTATCACATAGTTTTATTTATTTTTGTCTAAATAGAGCTTTAAAGAAGTATTTTCTATACTAAGGCCACATCTACAGTCAACACATGATGGTTAATTATTTTGATGTCTTCTAAAGCTCTTTTGTAAAGATGTAAAGAATTACTAATTCTTTCAGACATCTAATGCTTATTTTTGTTAGTAAACAGGGAAAAATGAAAGGTAGGCAATGGTTTTAAGGATTCTTTAGATGTAACACAACATATAAACTTGGTTTGGCATATTTTTATGAACTAAATTGTTCATACTGACATCTTTTCCAAAACATAGCCTATTCTTGTAAATGGGAAGATAATATACATCTAATTTAATCTCTTCTGTGCAGAGTCTAGGTAGTTACCTTTCTGAATCTATCTTTCTGTATAAGAAGGGCAAATTAAGAAGTATTAAAATTCCAAATACAATATAAGTTCAATGATTTGGTGAGCCTCCTTACTGTATATGCAGCAAACATGTGTTTTGATGGAATCAATAACTTAGAATGCTCTCTAATGAGCAAAGCCCAAATCAACGAATCAAGCCAGTGTCAGGAAGATAGCAAGGAACTAGAGAGTCTACTTAAAACTAGTGGGTTGGGGAAGAATGAGTATAGGCAAAGTTTAAAATATCTGTGGACTAAAATAATACATTTTCACTGACAATGAGTGAAGACACAGGAGAATAAGCGATAGCTGAGGTACAGGAAAGCCCATCCTAAAGCAAGGATAGAAGTTTCATATTATATTTGGACAATTTCTGGAAAGCGTCAAAGTAAGCCCTGTAAAAAAAATCCTTTTCTTTACCCAGTCCTAATAAGAGGGACTAAACCAGCATGTAACTGGGTAACTGAGAGAAGACCCCAAATTCCACAAATAGTTTACAGTGTGGTATTCCCCATTAGAGCATAAAACAAAATAATTCTGTTTTCATCTCATCGAATCTGCCTCATAGAGATCCTACAGGGCAAAGTAGAACTGTCCCACAGGGCTTCCAGGGTTAGAATCTTGGTGGAAGCAGGAGTGGCTGGTGGATTCAAAGTGCTGACCTTTTGGTTAACAGCCAAGTGATTAACCATGTACCACCAGATATATTTTAAAAATGCCTGCAGAACAAATAAGAAAGTTAATAGTTTTTTCTATTTACACTAATATAAACAGATATTGAGGTTGTCTGTACTGTATGTGGTTGCTGTAATTACAGCAAGAAATTAAAAGTGCCTGTAAGAGAGGGGACAACAGAGTCCCACTTCTAGGCATCTTAATACTATCCACTCAAACAAAAAAAAAAAAAAGAAAAGAAAAGAAAGAAAATCTCAGGGACTGCATGCCTTTCCTCAAGCTCCCTGCACTTCTTTGTGATTGATCTGCTGTAACTACCTTTGAGGCACTTCTAAAAGGCCAAAAAAAGACACTCTCTTTCCCTCTATTTCATGCCATATACTTCTAAAATTACTTTAGCTGCACAAAAATGCCAGCCTTCAGGGCTAAAGCATTCTGTGTTCTTAAGGCAAAATGTCATATAAGAAAATTAATTTCCCACCCACTCCCCCCTTTCCCCCAAACCATATCTTTATTGTATTCTTTGCCCATCATGAGGATCCATCTGTGTTAGAATGCCAAAGTGAATGGGCAATTTCAAATAAGAGCCCTCAATATAATATATAAGATAGATTATAAATGCTATTATGACAAATTAAGTATATTTAAATGTTCATAGCATATGGTTACTTTTATCAAGATATCATGAGAAGTTTTACTACTTTCAAAATTAGTATCAAAAACAGGATATATAAATCCAGCCACATGTACAGAGGTATGAAGCTTTGTTCTTTTCAAAGATGTGAACAATGATCCTAAATACGAGATTTGTTTTACACATAAAAGTAGCATTTAAAAAAACCAAAAGAATTGCCCTTAAATTAATTCTACTGATACTATATATAAATTACCAATATGATTATTCATGAGGTTCTCTGCTGCCAAGTGCTTAACCACTGTGCAACCAGCACTCCTCTATTTGGAAGTAATACTGTCTAATTGATTTTGATATTTTAATCTTGAATTGAAATCTTTTTTTCTTCCTCAGCTATAATTAACTATATA